CCATAACATTTGTAGGGAAAGTAAATTGAAAAGGTTGAGACGATCAAGCGAGACAAAGGGTCCATAAAATCTGACCATAAAAACAACACAACAACAAAACAAGATATAGAATACGAGCATACACAACAAAAAATTAAACCGACAAAAACGAAGAATATTTAGATCCTTATTGAAGAGCCCATGTTATTAAGAATAATGTATTCTAAGTACCTAAAATATATTTATAATGGTATGATATTGTTGCTTTCGATATAACCTATTAAGGATCCCGCATCGATAAGATAAGAAATATAATAAGAATTTTTATAATAGGTTTGGGCTACTTTGATTCTCTCATTGATTTTAAGATGTAACTTTATATGAATGTTAATACCCTGACTACTTTACTTATGTTTCACCAATAAGATCTCATAGCAATTGAAAATAAATGCCCTCGTCTATATACCTACGATTTTTCTCTTACTTAAGTCGGGCCTTTGGTTGTATTCCCAACAATTCTCTCAAGTACTATCTAGCCTCCTTTAAAATAATCATCCCTTCGTCTAACTCCTCTTCTCTAGAATACACCGCCTTTTTGATATAGAGCTCAACTATAATCATTCCACGACTATTATTTTCTAAGACTCACCCACCCAAATAATTTTAAGTATCTCCAAAATATTATGATATTATTGTCCGCTTTAGACATAATATTTCTATAGATAATAAACACCGATTAATAGTCACAGGTGAATTTGCATGTTGTGTGAAGTAGTACTTAAAAAAACCCAAGGATACAGGTGTCGTGAGTGGAGAGAGTGCATGAGAGAAATTGGTCCAATTGCACCCCAAATTGCCGCGTTTGCCGTATTACGTGTCCGTTTCTTAAACCCCTTCCCACGCTCCTGCTTGCGCCTATAAATAAAAACCACAACTCCGATCCATTTCAGCCAATATCTTCACACTTCCCAGTTCCCAGTTCCCAGTTCCCAGTTGTAGTGGTAAATCAAAACAAAAGCGATGGCATCGGAACAGCAACGAGCGGATCTCGACGCAAAAGCAAAGCAGGGAGAGACGGTGGTTCCCGGAGGAACCGGCGGCAAAAGCCTCGATGCTCAAGAACGCCTCGCTGAAGGTAATTAATTACCAAATCTCAAGTTCACGATTATTATTCTAATAATAATTAAATTAAATTTATCTAATCCATCATTATCAGTTTTAGTTAATGATTATTATTATTTTATTATTGAACTTGTGTGTTATGCTTATGGGGTGTACGTTGAGGGCGGAGCCGGGGAGGGCAGACGAGGAAGGAGCAGCTGGGCCACGAAGGGTATCAGGAGATGGGCCAGCGCGGGGGAGAGACCCGGAGGGAGCAGATGGGCCACGAGGGCTACCAAGAAATGGGCCGCAAAGGAGGCCTCGGCACCGACCGGGCCAACGAGGAAGGGATCCAGATCGACGAGTCCAAGTTCCGGACCAAGGACAAGGACCGTTGAACCGGATTTCTGCTCAAATATGACCCGGTTCGAGCCGTCGTCCTTTCGGAAGTACCTGAATAATATATATATGGGTGTGTGTACTTTTGGTATTATGTAAATTATTAGGGGTTGCTTTGTAATTTGTGTTCTGTTTGTTTTTCCTTTTTGGTGGTGTGTACGTCGGCCGGCGACCTCTTATTGGTCGTTTTGGCTATCTTGATGTATGGTGTCGTAGAACAAGGCTTTGACTCTTTGTATCTAATATAATAGTTCTCTTTTAATTTTCTTTATAGTTTTCTACTGTCGTGGCGATTTTAATTCGTGGGATTTTAAATTGAGTTACTACCAAAAACGGCTTATTTTAGAGAGTAAGTATAACGTTTAGAAAAATTCACAAAGTTTCTTTGAATAATTTCATTTCGATAAAATGTCCATATATATTATAATTCTTTGAATAATTTTATTTGTATTAACGAAAAAGTTTCTATGATGTATAGGTGATATCAATATTTAAATGATCAGGTATATGAATATATAAAATTCATATAACTACGTCTATCAATGATATGTTAAAATGTATGTGTCGACATACATATCAGTAATCAAATAATATATTATTTGATACATCAATGACTTAATAATATACAATATATCAATTGAGGGATTAAATGGTATGATTTTGATTTATATCAGATACTAAATTGTATAACTTATATTATAAACTAAATTGAGGTAGAGGTAGTATCTAGTATATCATTAAACTAAATGGTATAATAACTACCAGGCATATAAAATATGAAATATGACTTTGAGGTAGTATCCTAATAGTATATCATAAACTAAATGGTAATAAATTAAATGGTTTAATAACTATCAGGTAAAATGAGAGAGGCTGAGGGTAAATTGGACTTATTTTATATTTGGCATTAGTTGGGGCTCCAAATTTTACAAATAACTATATTATTTTTTTTTCTTTTTTTTGCTAATTTTGCAAGTGCTTTTTAACTTTGATAATATTGTATAATAAGAAAACTACCATAATTAATAAAATTTATTTTTGGGTCTAAAGATCTCTATAATTAATAAAATTTAGTTTTAAACTGATTTTACTTTTTATATTAGGGTTATGAAGAATAAACCAACTTTCTATGTTATATTTGTCGTTCAAGATCATTTACGAGACGTATTATGGATGTCACAATCAAGTTTATGGGTTTAGTGGGGCAGTACACACAAGTCCTATGTGGCATTATTAGCGGAAAAAGAGGATGCTTACAATGCGTACAAGGTCGTCCTAGGTGGCCAAACCGATGTAGAACTTGCTAACTGTGGGTGTATCAACCGACCCACATAGGAAGGACACTCTTATGTTATTGTTTCCCGAGTAGTAGGCTATAGTTGGAATATACTTGTGGTGTAGGCGTCGTTCTAAATATCGGTTGACACGTCGACATTTCTATCAACATATCCATGTTTTCGTGGGTTCGACAATCACATGAGGGATAAATCGACATTTCCATCGACATCGACATTTAAAACCTTAGGGGTAGGTAGGAATTAGTTTCATGAAGCAATTGTAAGATTCATATACGAGGTATTTTATTTCAGGACCACGTATAGACATGGACATAAAACCCATGAGTTGATTGCCACATGCACATAATTAATCTTAAGATAGCATAATAAAAGGGATTATAGAATAGAAATTCAATCACCACACTTTAAACATCAGATTAGGCAGCTATATTTCTTCCACGAGAATGACTTAACTTGTCAAGAAAGTACAAGAATGGGCAGTGCAGGTATGTCCATATCAAGCAAGAGGAGATGATCATCGTTTGAAGATCTTGTTGAAGTAGCCAGTACGTACAAAGATGCGATTGCAGACAATGGTGCTATAATAGATCGCAGTGTGACCTTCCAACAATGATGAGAGGGAGCAAATTCCGGAGGAGACAAAGTGTTCATAGAACTTGAGTCTATCCCTAGCATGATATATTGGATGATTGTCTGGTCGCAGTTAACATTTTATTTGTTGATGTGCAAAAGGTGACTATGTCTTTTGACTTCCCATCAAATTGGAAGTACATGCTTATACTTTCAACGACACATTTTAAATCATGTCACTTAAATATTAAATGACTTTTAGTTTTTGTGTGTTGCCGAAATATTAGCCTAACTTTCAACGACGCGTTTTAAAAATATGTTGCTGAAAGTCACTATTAGTGAGACATTTTAAAAAGGTGTCGCTAAAACTTAATATTTAACGATGTTTTTCTTTGGTGTCGCTAAAGTTTTGTCGTTGAGAGTCCGCTTTATTGAAATTGTTATTTCAAATTCCATCTACCGCTATATACTTACAATGTCATAACTCATAATGTGGACCACCTAATCTATAACATAACTTTGTAAAACATTTTTTATAATTAAACATTTTGTTGAACATATGGTATCAATGTTAAACTTTGCTTCGAATTATTGCGAAGGTAGGATTTGATTGTGAGTTTATAATCTAATTTTTGTTTGGCAATCAATGAAGAAAATTTAAAAAAACTGAGGTTAGGAAATATATAAATTAAGAAATACCAAATTTAAAGGAAATAAAAAAAAATTTCAAAGAGTAGTTTTTTTTTAAAAAAATCAAAGTGTATAACAATTCACTAAATAAAAACAAAATTATCCAAGCTCAAGCTACACAATCATGTACCCCAAATATAGGCTATACAACACTCGGAGATGTCCAAGTCACAAATGTCGAACCTACATCCCAAACACTCCTAAAAGAGTTGGCTAATCATGACGTTCAAAGTTCCACAAGAAAATACTTTTATATATTTTTGAATTTAATAATTGCACGAAAAATTCAACAATTATAATTTATAATTCAAAAATAGTAACAAGGGACTTATTCATACAACTTCAGATTGCATACCACCGCTAAGCTATGCTCGTTTTGACGGGTTGGTTTCGCTATTGTTTTCATATTTTTATAATGCCATATTATATATTACTAATATAAAATTATAGACCTATTATTATGTTAATACTTGCCGGTTTATTATCTATATAATTTTCAATTTTTATATAATCAACTTTCAGCACATTGATTGGTAGCAAAGAGCAATAACATAGTTAAATATATTAACACCAAAAATTCCTCATATTATCCCAACTCTATATTAAACTTAAAGAACAGGTATCAGTATTAGCAAATGAGAGAAGTTGAGCATAGTTCTGGAAGTTGAAAACAAAAGTTGATAGATGGGTCGGCATACGTTGGATTTGGAACCCCTACCAGGTAATCTCTCCCTCAACACGTGTCATCCTCGGGACAGTGGGTGTGAGAATCTTTTTGACTGAGTAATCACCTACGTGTCAGCCAAGGAGTGCTCTACAGCTCATTATCTGCCACGTAGGCACCCAAAGTGTCCATTTTCCCTTTTCTCATAGACAGACATTTCTCATCTCCTATATAAACCAAACCATTGCGTCGAAGGGAGAGGAGCGTAGGAATTTCATATTATTCTCTGTTGTGAAGCTTAAGTTTTAACTTTCCAAAGGGTGGAAGAGAGAGATGTCGTCGGAGCAGGAGAGGTGTGAACTCGACGCCAGGGCCAGGCAAGGGGAGACTGTCGTCCCTGGTGGAACTGGGGGCAAGAGTCTCGAAGCTCAGGAACACCTTGCTGAAGGTGTCGATTTAACGACTCTCYCACATTCTATATTTCTAATATTACAGGATTTCATACTTCTTTTTATTTACTGCCTATATTAACAGTTCTTTTATTTATTATTTATTATATTCAAACATATTAGCAGTATATTTACTGCTGATATTCAGCAATTCTTTCATCATTATATTAACATCATATTACGTCAATGAYGTTGATACATTTATTTCATTGTCATATCAACATCATATTAAAAATGACATTAAAAATGACGTAGATATCATCAAAATGTAGGATTTATTGAGAGAGGTATGATACTTTCGTAATACCAAAAATGGTTTCATGTTTCTCTATTTCAACACTTGAAAATATTTAAAATGATGCTGACGTGGCTTTCTAATCCAACCTTGACAAATCAACATGGCCTAAGATTTGACTCCATATAACCCCTCAGAAAGTCTCATATATTTACTAACAAAAGGAGATTGTTTCTAACTTTGATGTGACGTAGGGCGGAGCCGTGGGGGGCAGACAAGGAAGGAGCAGCTGGGCCACGAAGGGTACCAACAGATGGGCCGCAAAGGAGGGCTAAGCAACACGGGTCTCTCGGGCGGAGAGCGCGCTGCCGAGGAAGGCGTTGAGATTGATGAGTCCAAATTCAGGACCAAATAAAAACCACCTTCACAAATATGGCCAACTTTCAGCTCTAGTTTCAAGTTCCAAACTTCAATTTTCAGCTTACCTTTTTGGGGTTTCTAGTTTCTCTAAATAACGTTGTGTCCAAATGTCCGGGTCTGTACATGCACGTTTCCTCCTTTCAGGATAGTTAGAAATTAATGTCAGTTCTGTAAAAATATCTTCCTAAAATCTATCTCGACAGGGATTCCAAGTTTTCAAAATTTTGTTCCGTCTTTCAATTTAAATGATACAAGGTTGATCTTTTTGAAAACAGAAGATTAAAAATGAATGTGATCAAATATGGAAATCGGTTCTCGAAATGTGAGATAAGTCCAAAGAAAAACCCCATAGGTCAACACAGTTGCTTGGCAGACCTGTGAATATATGCGAGCAGTCGGAAGCAGAAGCAGAAGCAACAGATGGGAACAGAATTCCAGAGTTTGCATTATGAACTCTCTGTCCCTTGTTAGGAACTGAGAGAGAAAATTCGCGTGTGAATACATATTAAACCTATGGCAAGCTATGAACTGAGAAAATATTTCACTTTATCCTAAGTACTGATAGTAGCCTAAACCAAAGCTAGGAGGAAGGAAGTCCAAAACTTGCGGTTACTAAACAAGGTAAATAAAACCTTGATTGAGCTGCTGCTGGGGAGCATCCGCGGACTTGGGTTCCTGCCCGTGGGTGCACTTTTGATTCTCCGTGTAATCGAGTTTAATGGCTGGTTGCTAGAGCAGTAACCAATAGACCCAGCACAAGAAATGGTTGGGCACTGGCCTGAAATTTTATTGCAAATATGAAGTCGACAAATTGTATCGAGCGGAAAGTTTTAAGTTCTGGCCTAAAGGTATTGGCAAAGGCAGAACTCGAGTATGCTTTCCCAAAGAGTGCACAGATGAATGGCTCTATGTAGCAGTTTATATGAACGCAAATGCCGAGAATTTGAGTACCTGATATTTGACGTCGTACTTGACGGGGTCCTTGAGGAAGAATTTGAACTGTAAAAAGCATGGTAGTATAGATCAGTCGAGTATTTATGTTCCCTAAAACGAAGCGAAGCTGGTACGGTTGTCGTACTCGACTCTTGAATTATCAATATTTCAATGCAAAATAATATGTTACATGATCAAACATACACTCGAGCATATTTTGTCACTATTAATGAAATATGCTATGAAAAAGAACCTGAAAACATTATCAGGGTTTACACGCATATGGAAGTTTTAAGGTTGCTAAATTAAGAACTCAATTAATAATGTATAGGGTGTTCCTTTACACGACGTTTGAACCGAGTAAGAATGTAAGATTGTATTTGAGTTAAATCAATGAACATTTTCCAATTCGAAAAACCTGACACTATATGACGATTCTTTTTAAAGAATATATACCTGAAAAAAAACTTGGGGAGCGATTAGAGCAAGGAGGGCCAATGCGTAATACGGCTTGCCAGCTCCCAACAGATAACCTGCAATAATCAATATTATTCATGGCCACGTTCATTTCAAGTATACTGGAGGGAACAGTTTGGTTAACTTGCAAATGAAAATCCCCAATTTACATTAGCTGTTGTAAGTCCTTCATCTGCTTAGTAAACAAATAATAATTCATTTGATTTTTCATGGCAGGCTGATAACTTTTAAGCTATATTTAGTAGTAGAGTGCCATCTCCTAAAATAATGCGGTTCATGGCTGTACGAAAATAAGGTTAACAGAAGCAAAAAACTGTTAGAATTCTTGCTGAGAAGAACACCACATTTCACAGACTTTGAGATTGAAAAGCTTTTTTTCCAGACAACACGAAGAGAGACAAAGTAATCCATCTTTTCAGCAATCAGAATGGTGTATATTTTGTATTCGTCGTGTTGCAAACAAGTTTACGGCTTTTTATCTGTAATCTTAGTGAACTGCTCAAGAGTTAGAAAAATATTATGTGCAATACTTTTACCATTGCTCAATTCCTTCAGTGACTAACAGGGTTCAGTATTAAGATGATAAGCACATTCAAAGTGATTCCTATCACAAAGCACACTTTTTTTTAGGGTTTAGGGTGGGGTGGGGAGTGGAGTTAAGAGAAGGTTTCGTTAAAAGGGATGGAAGTACACAAAAGACGAACACCAAGTGCAGAATCCTCCAAAAAAATAAATTACTAGAAAGGCAGAAACCAAGCAACGAGCAATTCGTGTTCTTATTTGTTAGTACAAGCAGGAAAAGTGATCCAGTATGCTTTAGATTTGAGCATGGTTTCAAAGTGAAAAATCCCTACGGAACACAAAGTAGAAGCATTACCGGCAATGGATAGTTGAGTTATGTCAATTGCGCCAACACAAATCCATTTAGCAGTTTCAGCACCGAAAGCAACTGGAAGTGACTGTACGAGCAGTAAACAACGTAAGCTGACATTAAAAANTCGGGCTAGGTTTTATCATTCTAAGTCCAAATCCCAAATCCAAACTATTATTTGTGACCACTTCCCATTTTACAAGAATCACTCATTCCAACATTCACTATTCTTTAAAACTTTAGAGTTTGGAAATTGTTTAGAAGTCCTTGAGGATCGATACTTGGATACTCCATCCATTTTATATTACTCTGACAGGTGTGCGCTTGCATCTATATAATTGTTACCACGCTTAGCGCGTGCGTTCAGCATAAACATTCCAGTCAATAATCACTTAAGATGGGGGCGTTTTAAACAAACAAAGTATTTATAACAAATAGGAAAACTAAAGTAAATCAACTCAAACGATACACTAATGAACTACTGTTAAAATGAATGAAAGACAGATGACAGCAAAATGTCTGGGGAACATGCGCAAATATGAACTGAAATACTGATATTAAAATGAGTAAGGGGGAAGCGGCTAAGTGACTTTTGTGGACTTAAGTAGATGATGCTACAGCATAAACGATGATAGAGCATTGGCCAAACAGACATGGAATCTTTCCAGATTGCCCAAATTTCTACTATTCCGATTTTTAGACAAACTAAATAGTATATTACACAAACTTTATAACCTTGCTTCGTGAGCCTTATTTCTAAGTACCCACACTCTAAGTAAAGTAGAATCTAGCATGAGATGAAATATTTCGCTTCCTATTACAATTTTCCAAAAGTTAACAAGAAGGTATTCAAACATGTTGATCAAGCATATTGAAAATAAATTTATAAGACAACTTCAACTCAATGTTCTTCATCATTTAAAAACAGTAACAAAGTCTACAGCCACAAGGGTTCACAACAACCTTCCCCTCACAAATGGGAGTAGCTACGCAAAGCCATAAAAGAAAATCAAATAAAAACTAGAATTAAAATAACACAAATAGATTCAAAGATGAAGAGAAGGAGCTGAAGGTTTCAGCTCCATGCGAAATCATCTTGTTCTCTGTCTCAGCAGCAGATTTCTGGGCTTCTTCTTCCTCTTCTACGAGCAGTTGGACAGGTTTTTCTTGGAGAGTGGGAAGGATGATTCCAATAATGGAGAGAGGAAGAATATCTTGGAGGCTGCCTTAAAAGGGGACTTTTATACCCATCCTTAATTTTAGGGCAACACAAAGGATAAAGTGGGCCCCAGCTCTAAATTCCAGGTATTTCTCCGAGTTACTGCGGTAAATCCCGTTGAGCAGTCCTTTCACTATTAGTTTGTTGTTTTCTGTTACTTTTTGAATACGATGTTGTAGCATCGTCAAAGCTGTAGCAAAATACCCAAAATTAGGCTGTTCTTCACAAGCTTCAGCATGAGCAGTAAAAAATGAGAAGAACCTGATTCAAAAACATTCTTTGCACAAAACAATTAGAGTAGAATGGGTGTTTTTGTGGCTATCTTTAGCTAATTTATATGAAATTTACACACAAACAACTATCTTTTGGAGAGTTATCAGCTGACTTTGGGCCCGATATGCCCAACTGCAGGTCAGATTCCTTATCGAATACCCCAACCTATAAATAGAGCACTTCACTCTTCAGCCAAGTATCTGATTATAGCTCAGTCTCAAAACTAAGGTTGAACACAAAACTGACTTGAGTGTCGGAGTGTTTGTTCCTTTGTGCATATCCTTCCTCACCAAGTGGTCTTCCAGCTATTCCGGAGTTGGCATACGTTTACCAAGTTTGACCTTGGCTGATTTTGTTCACAAAAATTTGGTGTCATTTGTAGGAATGAACATTTTAAGTCATTCCTACCGAACCAAACTATGACTCGCATAGTTTATCGAATGTCTAGTACTCTTGGTAATCGGGTGTACCTTCAAAGCTCTTCAAGATCGTCCACTGGCACAAGATCTTCGTGTTCGAGATCTTCCCTGGAGGACAACTTTTCCCTAGAGGAAGACCTTATCATCGAGGATGACATTCCCCTCAAGGAAGACCTTCCCCTCAACGACAGCTTTCTCTCAGGGAATACCAATTTCAAGAGGAAGACCCAGAAGGGAAAGAATCCCGCAGCGGAAGCGCGCAAACGCTTGAGCTTCGATTTTGTTTAGAAAAATACTAAGAAAAGAACGCAATACAAAGAACGAGAACCTACATTTGAAGATCATTCTTCAACATAGACACAAACACCATAAAAAAGTCTTCCCCGTTATTGTCTTGGCAAGGATCGATCTGTGAGAACCGTCTTTTGAAAGTGAGAAAGTTTTCGAGAGACAACTTTTTTGAAAGAGGGTGTTCAACCTTTGAACAAAACCTCCACTCTCATTTTATAGAGAGGGAGAGGAGTGGGGAGGAAGCAACCTCCCCACCCACCATCTTTTCACTTCGTTGCATTTTGCAAGGAAATGGATTGTTAATTAAGACTTGTTTGATAACCATTTCATTTTTAGTTTTTGGTTCTTGGTTTTTAGTTTTTAAAAAACAAGGTTTTTTTATAATCAATTCAATTTTCTGTTTTTTGTTTTTCAAAAAACGAGTTTGAAATTCTATGTAAATTTCAAAAAAAAAATAAAGTTTTCAAAAATTTCAAAATCATTTTTGTTCTAATACTCAATTTTTTTTTCTTTCTCATGTTTATCTCTAAAAAATTTCTCTCTCATTCTAAAATTTTTTCTTTCTAAATTTATCTCTACAAAATTTATTTTCTCTCTTTACAATTTTCATATTTTTTGAATATTTATTATTATTTGTCTTTCTCTCCTAAATTTTAATCTCTATGTATTTGTATTATTTTTTTAACAGATCAGTTTCATTTCTCTCTCTAAAAATTTAATATTTTTCCGAACTTTTTTCTCTCTAAAATTTCATCTTTTATAACTTTTCTTTCTCTTCCTAATATATTTTTTTCCTCTGAAATTATTTTGAATCTTGTTTTTATCTCTAAATTTTTTTGCACTATAATTGTTCTATTTCTTTCTAATTTCTTTTTTTTTTCTTTAACATATCTTTTCCTCTCAATTTTACTTTTTTCTCTCTAGAATTTTCTCTTTTTGTCTTTAACTTTTCTTTCACTAATTTTTTTTTCTAAAACTTTTTATTTATCTCTCTAAAATTTATCTTCCAAAAGTTTATTTAGATATCTTTAAACTTTTATTTTCATGTATCTACATTAGTAAAGACAAAAATTTCCGCAAGGTCGGACCCCAAAAATAGTAAATGCATATCCCTACCTTGTCCACGATTCCATTTTTTAAATAACTCATATATATTTATTACACTTTTTATTTTTTAAATTCTAAAAATAATTAAAGACAATTATTAAGCCGATAATTTTTCTCGAGAACATCTCTCGAACCGAAGAACGAGATGGAGACCGAGATTAAAAAATTTCACAAGCACGAAAATGGGGGAGAGCATCCTTACTCGCATCCACACATTTGTCATCTCTGCTCTACATAGAATTTTCTCTCTTTAATATGTATTTTCAATTCTTCAACTTTTTAAAAGCAGAAAACTAAAAATGGTTACCCAAACATGTTGGGTTTTCTGGTTTTTGAAAACAAAAAAATGGTTACCAAACATATATGGTTTTTGTTTTTTTAAAAACAGAAAACCAAAAACCAAAAACTAAAAATAGAAAAACAAAAAACATAAATGATTATCAAACGGGCCTTAAATTAATTTTAATTAATTAATTAATTATAAAACTAATTAATTAATAATAATAATTAAATATCATATATTTAATTAAAGCTTTATTTGAATCATATTCAAATATATATCTCTCATAAACTATAGTTTTAATGCGAATCTCATTCACATTAATTTGAACCTATAGTTTTAATATGAATCCAATTCATATTAATTATTATTTAAATCTCATTCAAATATAACCTCATAATATATAGTTTAATTATGAATGTCATTCATAATTAACTATATATTATAAGGTATCTATATACATTATGTTCATTGTATCTTATACAATTAACCTACAATCCCTCATTTAAATTGAACAACTCAAATTCTTTAAA